GAATATAGAGGACTAAACAGAAAAGTGGGCTGTAGTTGAGGCAAGAGTTTTCATTGGGTAATCTTTTTACCCAATCTTGCCAATAAATGAGTACATAAACTAATCAATCTGTTTAAAAAAAAATATATAGAAATGAGTTTGTCTTCCCAGTGTGAGATCACTAGCATCTCTTTACTACATTATTCTCCACATATTCTCCACATTCTTACCACGTGTGAATGGCTATTTGTAAAGCATCTTATAATTTAAGAGGAGGGAACTTGCGTCTCTGAAAAGCCTACCACGTACCAGACAGAGTGCTAGGTGCTTTTTGTATGCAATCTCTTTTAATTGCCGTAACAAAACCAGAAACAACACCAAAACCATAACAAAACCATTATTGTCTAGAAATAATTTTGTAGAGGTTCAGTAACTTGCCTGAAGTCACAGAATATATTAGTGACAGAACCAAGATTGGGACCACTTTTGTCTCCACATCTTATCTGCACTATATTACGTTGTTCTCCAGGAGGTAAGCCCTCACAGATGTCCTCATGAAATCTCTAAGAAGAGGTCACTGGTAGTGCCAATCTCTGACACAAGTCTGAACGCTCTGGAGGGACTGGGTCTTTTTATATCCCAAGTGTCTAGCCCAACCTCTGGCACATAGTAGATCCTCAATCAGTATTTGTTGATTTACATTATTCCAATTTCCAATGCGGAAAAGGCAATTGTGGCTTGCTGATCTCACAAGGTTACTGACTTTGGTTGTGATAGTCCTAATTTTTCCAATCCAGTTTTCATTGGGGTAAGGCTACACAGTTATGGAATCACTCTGACTGCCCAGACGGCATTTGCTTTTACTTATCCCTGTATAGTTCATGTGTGTGTTACAATCCTAGGTCAGCATCTTTTACACAATAAATAGATTCTTTTTTCCCTTGAATTTCCTACTTTACGGCAGTGACCAATATTGCAATCATGGCGAACTTTAAATCAAGCAATGTTGCAGCAAGCTGAAAGGAATATAGACCCTTGACTTGAAAGACCATGGTCTCATAAGATTCTACAGGAGTTAACAATTGTCAAACAGAAATTTCTTTTTAGTGAATTCTGTCTTCCAAATTTTTGAGTGTGACATAGCAAAACAGCTTGTACAAATACACTTACTTGCTTACGTTTCTACATGTAAATAAAAAGATATTTTGTGAGAGACTGAGAGCGACAAATATTGTTTGTTGAAATTTATAGTTTTACACAAATGAACGTACATTACCAAGGAGAGGAACGAATGCCAGTGTTTTTCTGTATTATGGAAATTCACACACACACACACACACACACACACACACATACATACACACAAAGCAGATTAAAGGACATTACAAAATATTTTGCTTATTGGCACCACGTAGACTTTCACACTTAAGACATTTTCTGTCATTTTTAACATTAATATTTGTATAATAAAAATTTGCCAATTGAACTATTCTTTAAAAATATACTTTAAATATAAATACGAATAAATAGCTCTATTTTGCCTCTTTGGTATGAAACTTACTATATTTATTGCAATGAAAGATTTTTCTTTAAAAAAAAATCGTTGATTTAAATTCAGTTGCTTACATAGACTTGGCCTATTTGACGATGTGTCTGCTAGGTTCCTGGGTGCATTTGAAAGTCATGTCTGACCTTTTTTTGGGAAACCACTGGGGTCCCACTTTTTTTTTTTTGCGGTACGCGGGCCTCTCACTGTTGTGGCCTCTCCCGTTGCGGAGCACAGGCTCCGGATGCGCAGGCTCAGCGGCCACGGCTCACGGGCCCAGCCGCTCCGCGGCATGTGGGATCTTCCCAGACCGGGGCACGAACCCGTGTCCCCTGCATCGGCAGGCGGACTCTCAACCACTGCGCCACCAGGGAAGCCCTGGGGTCCCACTTTTGATTTCGATTGGATGATATGGAGTGTGGACAAATGAAAAAAGTGACTTTGCATTCAGACATGGAGAAGCATTAGGGAATCAGTGAGATTCTGAATACAAATCTTAACAAAATGAACATGAGGAGACTATGTAAAGATATAAGACTGTTCCTGGGAACCATGGGTGGTGGGTTTTTTTTTTTTTTTCTCCTCTATTTCCAGATAGATTTAGACACTCAGTTGTCCTGCCTGAACTGTTCTATTGTTCTTGCTGGCTTTCAATCCTGAAATGCAAGACCATAGTTTTCACAAGTAAGTCCACTATGTTTCCACAACCTTAAAACATTGTACCTCATTCTCATTCACATATGAATTTGACGAATGTGGATCAGAAGAATATCAGGACTCAGGGGCAATGTAGAGCTGAATGGTGGCCCTTTTTCCCTATCTTGGTACTAACTGGCAAATGATGGCTTCATGGACATGGCTGTTTCTGCAGCCCCTGGTGGAATGAGTACCGTGGACCACGGCTGCATCTGTGCTCTTGACCTTGGCCTTGAATCTGATTGGTTGGCTGGTAACATGTTACCTGGTGAGAATCAGAATATTTTCATATTGCAATATTTTTAAGAAATTATCTTTATTTTTAATTGTTTATCTAGACATGCCAATGGATATTTCGGCCACATTTTGAGCAAAAACTCACAAGGTGTGTTTTTTTTCCCCCAAACCTCACGTGTGTACACAAAACAACACAATTGTAAGGGTTTGCGTAAAAGAACAAAGCATAAGAAATACAGTGAGATACAAGCTCATAACCAATGTTCAAATCAGTGAGCAGATCTGATTCAACATGAGAAAAGGTTACAAAACAAGTCTGTGGCTTGTAGGAAGGACTACCTGGTGACAGCTTTGCAGGACATGCTCCACATCCCATTGCGGGAAGCCTTAGGCAGGTAGAAACAGAGCAGGATTTTCACTCAGCCTAGCAGGGAGTTATGGGGAGGTCAGCGTTCCAGGAACAAGGTTCTGACTGTTCACAGGTGCTGTAAAAAGAAAAAGGCTTTGCCTATCAGGCCTGGCAGTGATATCTATTCTCTCTCTCTTAATTTGATTTTAACTTTAGCTTTCACTTACTAAAAATAGCTTTTTGATTCCTTTCTTCTCAAGCATTGAAGGAATTAAACTCGGAAAGTCAGCTCCTGATGGTCCAGGGACTAAGAGAAAAAGAATGTGAAGATAAAGCCCACGGATGATCCAACAGCTGTGTCTTAACTAGTAATTGGACACTGGACACCTTCTATTGAAATATTGCTAGAGAGCCACCAGTAGGCAGGAAAAAAAAAAGAGTTTTCATATTCTTTTTCTTTTTTCTTTTTTGTCAAAAAATGAGAAACTCAAGAAATCTCCAGATGCTTGAAAGAAGGAGACAAATGTATCTAGTTTATGCGTCACATCTCATTTTCCTTCAAATTGGTCTTGTACTAGTAGCTACTTTTTAGGCTCAACTGTTAGATATTTGGTAGTTTTCTCTGTGAGCTCTTCTTCAAGACCTAATACACTTTTGTCCTATAAATTTAGAACTACTAAAACCACGTCCAGTCTTATTTATTTAAATTATTATATAAATAGAGTTTAAACAAAGTCCATTTCCTAAACTCAAAGTAGAGGCTCCATTAGCTAAAATAGCATCTTCTTTCTTATCTCTACTGTATCTTCCCCAGTAATCGCTTTCCATGATTTGATCTCATGTACATTGAAAACAGACTACTCAAAAGCCCAAACCAAACCAAAATAAGAGAGGTTTGGAAGCAGAAATACATTCAATACATTCTCTTTTGGGGCTTCATCAAGCTGAGAGCTTCAGAGTGTTAAAGCAATAAAAAAGTCATGTGGCAGTTCATAGTTATTACAGGAAAAAACCCAAAGTTAGTGTTAAGTTTTCACAACTTCCTTTCTTACCCATATCAATAATTTCAACTTATCATCCACCCATTTCATGAAGTTTTCACACTTTCTTTAGTACCATCTGACAATCTCTTCTGCTTTAATGAAAGTACGACTAACTTTCCAAATTTCCTCTAAACCTTTATTCTGCAAGCCTCGGTCTTTCTGCAGGAACTTAATACAATCCAGTCAAGTTTCTAACATTTCATTTGTACGTTAGGAGGAAAGAAAAAAAAAAAAAAGAGTTGCACTTAGGAAATGAGAGTTAGCTGACATTCTATCAGCTTGCGAAACACCTTGATTGATAGTGGCAGAAACAATCATAGTATCATTCTCCCACTACCACATTGTTTAAGGTAAAAAGAAAGGGGGCATTGCCAATTTTCATCTAACATTAGTTATGCTAGAACTTCCAAAGAAAATGTTCAATGCACAGAGTTTAGCTGACTAGAGAAGAATGCTGTATGTAGTAAATTGATTTTCCGGCCAAGTATATACAGAAAAAATGGCAACTAAAACCTACCCAGGAAGGTAAATTCTATCAGACAACTGAAATATTTTCTTTCCTTAAATTATGTTAACGTCTGCTAAACAGTCGCGTAGTTGTTCACATGAAATGAAGGAAAAAGGAAAATCCAGTTACTACTGACACCAAAGAAATGCACGCCAACCATAAACCAAAGAAACGCACGCCAACCATAAACCAGAGATGCTTTGGTACTGTAGCCAGAACAGATGACAGCGTGCTAGGGGAGCAGGGAAGTCCCTGATGGATAGATGACGGGGTCACGGAAGGTTTGTGAGACCTGCTATGTGTCCCGCGAGGCTGACACACTGCCATGTCCATGACAAGAGTCGTATAAACACAAGCTTATCAGCTGGCTTGTTAAAACAGAGTGAAACATCGCTGTGTTGAAAGTGACTTCAGGCTTGCCGAAGGGTCTTGTTCATCTGAGGAAAGAATGCTTGGTGCCATAGATTAAACACTATGGTCTCAAGTGGAATGCATGTGAAGTTTCCAAAATATTTCCTCAAAGACTTTATTCAGTTTTGCTTTGTGACCTTAGCTGGAAAGCATAAAGATGGACATGGGAAGGCAGTTCAGAAGGACATCTGTGAGGATTTAAGTTGGGCAGCTTTCAGAAGATGAAAGATGTTTAAAGTTAAGGCCTTTATCTGCAAACAGTAGTATATTAATAAACTCTATACCATATTTACAAATGCATTCTCTTGTATTAAAACTAACAGTATTCTGTTCACAGTGCCATTGTTTATACAGGTAGCAATCCCATAATACTCATGTATTTTGGCATGGGAATCAGTAGCGCTTGATATTTACAGAGAATGTGCAGGTGTGAATATAAACATGTCACTGAATCTGAGTTATCGATAAAAGACAGATTGGCAAATGGTGCAAAGGAATGAACTGTACAGCACCTTCCCCTTGGATCGGATCGGAAACGTTGTTTCTTAATTGAGAAGATGCCAAATCTCTGACCCAAAGTGGCATAAAGTCCGTAAGAAAACAGTGAACCCCCGTTCGAGTTTGGGTACATTGAGTAATGTTTGCCCATAGTTTTAGATCCATTGTCTAGTGCATAAAATAGAAAAGTTAAAAAGATTTATTATTATTTTTATAATAATAATTATTATTAAAATAGAAGGTACTTTCTCTCACGCTCTCATTTGGGCTCTTGCACCTGAAACCAATATCCTTGGAGTTCCAAATATGCTGGTGTTTTTGTCATGCAGATCAGCAGTCCGAGGGCCAACGCTAAAAATGCTCTGGACTTAGGAAGTGCCGCCTGTCTCAGTGTGACCCAGGACCCGAGGGGCCCACGGCAGGAGCACCTCTTTCTTACTCCCCAGTCTTCACCTCGAGGGCCAAGCCGGCCCCTGGAATCAGCTAGCTCCCTCATGGCGGAATGGAGCTCCTTATTTCGGCAGCTAATGCTGAGGTGACGGATGGCTTCTGTACACTTGGAAAAAGGAGGGAGGCAGGTGAGCGGGAGGAGGTTATCGTTCCAAAGAGCCCCAGGACGACACCCAGAGAGGGGCTGGGTTTACCGGCAAGAGCCCCTCAGAGCATCTGCCCTCCCAGAGGCCTCTGCGCGAGGAGGCTGGCACTCTCAGTGTGCAGAGCAGGGAACAGGCCTGGCTGGCACTACGGGGCGTCGCCTTCGGTCACGGTCTGCCCCTCAGCTTCGGTCCCTGGGCCGGTGTGGTCTGGGCCGCCGCTGCCACCGCCACCGCTGCTGCTTCTGCGCTGGTTGGGCAACAGCCTCTTCCACTGGGCTTTGTTGTGCGCCAGGTGGCTTAGCATGCTCTCAGACAGGGCGCTGTGTCCCGTGAAACGGGCCCATTCACGGAAGAGGGGCTCCACGATGTAGGTCATGAAACCTGGAACAGGCAAGGCCAAGCTCATCACCAGCAGGGCAGTAAGACCTACTTCTTCCTCCCTAACAAACATGACTGGGCCCACGATGTGCTGAGCCCGTGGGTAAGAAGGCCACCAAGATGCGGTCCCTGCCCTCAGTGTCGAAGCATAAGATATGTCACCTTGGGCTCGGCATCTAACCTCTCAGTGCCTCAGTTTCTGCAGTTGTAAAAAGGCGTTAAGAACGGTGCCAAACCCATAGGGTTGTTATGACAATGAAATGACTTAACACATGTGAAGATGCTTAGAAAGCTCCTGGCACATAATAAACACTCAATAAATATTGGCTATTATTATTTGAAGAAGGGGGAAGACATATAAGGAAAAAAGGAAAAAAAAGTTTGTGCTAGAACTGAGGAGGGTGGGTGGGGGAGGGGAGGAAAGAACAAATGATACCAGGAAGGGGCACCTCGTTGATTTAGACCATCTGAAGAATTCATACATCTACTCCGTAGGGTATTTTTTCAGGATTATCATTTCACAGTTTTGTCTTACTTTCAATTATGTTAAACAACTAGGTGTAGGTAATAAAAGTTCATTCGTCTTCAATACAGATTTTTACCTGCATAAAAGTTCTGCTTGAATGACTAGATAAGATGGATTGATATGAGACTTCTTTGTTTGCATGTCTGTTCTCTTAATTATTTTAGCCTTGTTGCTTTCTAACCATGTTTCACTGTTAATGTGCCTTCCATATTAAACATGATTTATTAAAGCAAAGATAACTTCCAGTCTAGGCTGGAATAACTGGACTCATCACAAATTTGGATATATTTAGGTTTTATTGTATTTCCCTGACATGTAGGTATGGGGAGAAAAGGCAAGTGCTTTTCAGCTAACGAAATCTTCCAACAACTAACCCTGTATGTTTACAGGCCTGTGAATTATAAGGCTTGATTTGATTATCCTTTTATTGGACGAACAGCAGATACTTGGCCTTTGAGGATGCTATAGAGATGAAAAAAGAATGCAGCAAAGCAAAATGTTATTGTACATGCCTGCATCATCTCATCAGATGTGAAATATGATTTGAATAGTATAAGATTATTTTAGATTACCTGAACCTGAGGAGGAAGGTTAAGCCAGTGACTTGCTGTCTACATCTTGATAAGGTTATACAGGGAGTCAGCAAAGCAAGGATTTCACTTTGGAATGTTCTTGCTTGCTATTCTTGAATTTTCTTCACCTCCTTCACAATCTCCATATCTAATTTTGATATCTTTCATCTTAAGAGAGATTAGATATTAGGTATCTAAAAAGATAATGTGCAGTATTATACTATTCTAAAGTTTAAGTTGCGAATATTTATCAGGTTTACCTTAAGTATAAAACAAGTTACAAATCCCACATTTAAAAATCCAGTACTTAAAAATCAACTCATTTTCTTCCTGAAATTACTCTGGAATTACACCTCTGTATTTCTACTCGTCAGATATAAAGACCTCTTATAGGAGATAGAAGAGTGATTTTAAAGTCTGAAGAAACACCATGAGGCAGTTTTTCACATGAAGAAAGGCTTCTGCACTTGGGAGCCTGCCCCATAGGTTCCTTGTGTATTTGCGCAAACCTCCCTCTTCTATTCAAGCGATGTAGAGCCTGACTTTGCTGGGATATTTATTGTCTTCCTGGAGTGGTGGGAGTGGGGCAGGGGAGAAATGATGGCTTCAGAGTACACAGGGATTGAAGGAAAGCCTCTTTCTCCTCATCTTTCTATAGGCTGCACCAATTAGAGATTCATTTGATTTAATGCCTTTTTTTTTTTTTTTTTTTTGCCCAGCCGCTCCGCGGCACGTGGGATCCTCCCGGACCGGGGCACGAACCCGCGCCCCCTGCATCGGCAGGCGGACTCCCAACCACTGAAGCCCTGATTTAATGCCTTCTTTTTAAAATGTAGAGTTCGATAGGGAGAGGGGAGGAATATGAGTGTGGGGGGTGGATATTAAATCCCTGTCTCACTTGGGTAAATATGAATTACTTAAAAGAAAATCAGGTCTAAGCCTGAGATGGCACTCAGGAAATCCTCACTGTGGACTGGGAAAGGAAAAAGAGAGGGGACATTTTCAATCCCAGCGTAATCAGAATGGAGGAACTAGCTGCATTATTTAGCACCCACTGGAAAAATCCTTGTCTGGGAGCCTGGAGCCCACAGTTCCCATTAGATTCTGTTGATCTATTTGGGTTTTTCCAGTTTAGCCTGATCTACCTATGCACACCACACCACCCAGCCTTGAACCTACAGAGCTGGGAGATGTGGAACAGAGACAGAAAGATTTACCTACTAAGGGTTGTTTTATAATCACCTCTTTCTCTTTATTGGTGTGCTGGTGTAGCACCCATGGGATTTTCCTTTTCATTCAATCCCCATCCCATTTTAAAAACAGGTATCTATGGTAACCACATTTTCCTGAGCTGAAAATCAGGACATATGATCTGACAAAATAAGTGTGTTCTCATGACAACAAGAGAATAGAATCTCCGAAATCAAGCCTGTCTTGCAAATCTAGGTTGTGTGCTTAATAATGTGAATGCTTTTCTCTGGGGGCTCAAAATGTCTTTAACAGGTGCCTGGCAAATTTCTTTCTAGCCAGAATTTAGCAAGCTGGGTCCCAAGGATTAGGATTTTGGTTGGGGGTCTATTCCTTTTGAATTGCATCTGCAGAATTTCCTACTTGATAGGGCATTGGATCCAAAGAGGCTGAGGCTGCATTTCTGTTGATGTTGATGCCCTTCCCCCTCCGCTGCAGTTCTGTAGCTTCATCTGCTCTGGATTCTTGCAGGGTTTTATTTTTTATAACAACACCCCTCTCCCTTTTTCAGGTGCATGAATCGGTTTAATTGTAAAAAGAACGTAACGATATCAAGGGCAATTTGGAAAAAAAAAGATCACCAGTAATCTCAGAGTTCCAACACATCTATTTTAACATTTGTATATTCCCTTCAAATTTTTTAAACTAGATAAATTTTGTTCCTATTTCCTTAGTTTGACTTTGTGACTCTTTTGTGGGACTGTGGGTTCAATTTGACCCACAGTAATTGGAAGCATATCATTCTAACTGGCTCTGGTTTTCTCAGTTCTCAACTGATGTTTTCAGGTGACCCTTTCACTCCAATCTCCAGGCATTAAGCCTTGAGCTTGCAGAGGTTTGCAACACTGTGAATGTGTTAAGCTGTCTGAGGTCTGTGGGAACTGGTGAAAAACATGAAATGGTACATGTCAGGGCCATAGTTTATAAGTAAAGAGTTAAAGTTCTGAGTTTTTTGGGGTTTTTTTGTAAGTTTATTATCTCTGCTCTAACAAATCTTGAAATTAACATGCAGCCTTTAACTGCTATATTTCACTTATGTGGCAACATGTTTTTATTTTTTTAATTTAATTAATTAATTAATTTTTTATACAGCAGGTTCTTATTAGTTATCTATTTCATTTATTTTTTTTTTTACATTACCCAAAGCAATCTATAGATTCAATGGAATCCCTGTCAAACTATCAATGGTATTTTTCACAGAACTATAACAAAAAATTTTACAATTTGTATGGAAACACAAAAGACCCCGAATAGCCAAAGCAATCTTGAGAAAGAAAAACGGAGCTGGAGGAATCAGGCTCCTGGACTTCAGACTATACTACAAAGATACAGTAATCAAGACAGTATGGTACTGGCACATAAACAGAAATATAGATCAATGGAACAGGATAGAAAGACCAGAGATAAACCCACACACATATGGCCATCTTATCTTTGATAAAGGAGGCAAGAATATACAACGGAGAAAAGACAGCCTCTTCAATAAGTGGTGCTGGGAAAACTCGATAGCTACATGTAAAAGAGTGAAATTAGAACACTCCCTAACACCATACACAAAAATAAACTCAAAATGGATTAAAGACCTAAATGGAAGGCCAGACACGCTCAAACTCTTAGAGGAAAACATAGGCAGAACACTCTATGACATAAATCACAGCAAGATCTTTCTGACCCACCTCCTAGAGAAATGGAAATAAAAACAAAAAGAAACAAAAGGGACCTAATGAAACTTAAAAACTTTTGCACAGCAAAGGAAACTACAAACAAGACGAAAAGACAACCCTCAGAATGGGAGAAAATATTTGTAAATGAAGCAACTGATAAAGGATTAATCTCCAAAATATACAAGCAGCTCATGCAGCTCAGTGTCAAAAAAACAAACAACTCAATCCAAAAATGGGCATAAGACCTAAACAGACATTTCTCCAAAGAAGATATACAGATTGGCAACAAACACATGAAAGGTTGCTCAACATCACTAATCATTAGAGAAATGCAAATCAGAACTACAATGAGGTATTACCTCACACTGGTCAGAATGGCCATCACCAAAAATCTACAAACAATAAATGTTGGAGAGGGTGTGGAGAAAAGGGAACCCTCTTGCACTGTTGGTGGGGATGTAAATTGATACAGCCACTATGGAGAACAGTATGGAGGTTCCTTCAAAAACTAAAAATAGAACTACCATATGACCCAGCAATCCCACTACTGGGCATATACCCTGAGAAAACCATAATTCAAAAAGAGTCATGACCACAATGTTCATTGCAGCTCTATTTACAATAGACAGGACATGGAAGCAACCTAAGTGTCCATCAACTGAGTTTGGTTTTAATTGGAGGGAACTGCAAGGAAAAGAAAGACTTGCTTTAAACGTAGATGGAATTGGTAGAGTGTTTCAAGGAGTGATAGAAACAATTATTTTAGAGGCATTAACATCACCGTTTAACATTTTAGTGCAATTGATACTTGAGAGTGTGGTCCTAAGAGGATGAGACTGAAAATCCATTTTGAAGTGAAGACTAGAGAAGCATGGGATCCCATGTCACATGGCTGGTGGGGCCTGGGCCTGGGAACCAAGCACCTAGCATTGAGCATTGAGGATGAAGGGTAATGGCCAAATTGGAAGGATCCTGAACTGCAGATTTCCCACCCTTCATGTCCTAAAGAGAGTGTGAGCTAATCCGATCTTCAGCAGCCAATAGTTGATTCTTGTTACTTTCCTCTACTCATTTGGTTTTGATTCAATTCTGAACTACAAAGTTAATACAGGTTAGTTATTAAGGGTCTGTAACAAAGCCTTTACCCTATTTTTCATCTCAGTTGGTAATTAGTCATGACTAGAGTGTTCATTTGGACTCAGCCATTCAAAGCGCCATTGATTAAACCTCTCGTTTGGATCTTGAGAAAGCTGTGTGTAGATCTTCTTAGTGACTCTTAGCAGAGGTGCTGAAACTGTTGATTTAAAATTAAAATTGAATTCGACTCACCAATTTGTATACTAGGGATTGAATCTTTCTGTTGATTGCAAAGAGGACTGATTTCCAGTTCAAATTTCTGTTCAAGGTCACCTACGAAGAAAAAAGAAGAAACACATTGGTAATCGAGAACCTATAAGAATGAGTGTTGATAGTTTTAATGATCTAGTTGGAAGAAGTTATCTGGGAATTACTGTTCCCTGCCTTATCACTAGGAACCCTTTAGCAACAACTGGCTCTGCCCTGCTCTGGTAGCTTCTGCAAAAATTTAAAATATCAGAGTATCGACGATCATTTACAGTAGGCTCATTGTAAGTAGGTATGCTCTGGGATTAGAATAAGCTTTTGAACAAAAATCTATAAAAACAAGAAAACGAATGGCCAATTTCCTAATATGAGATGGAAGTTCTGGTTTTAAGTTGCAGATTAAGAAAACAGGTTTTATGCTTTTCCCCTCCTTTCACTCTGCCTGACCCTCATCTGGTTTCACCTGAACAACCGGGAATAATTAGTAGGCAGGAAATCGGGAAGAGGAAGTAGAAAGATCTCATTTGAAGAGCATCTCTGTAGCTACAAAATTAATCCAAAATAAGGGTCTGGTATCTTTCATTCTTACTCCTTAGAGTTTTACTTAGTGTAAATGAAGGTTAAAGAAAGTATAAAGCTCAGGATGATCTTTCTTTTTAATGTCTCCTTCAGCTAGAGCAAAAGAGAAATGCATCATGCAAAGCTTTATCAAAGTATTTTATCAATTCTTCCTGAAGGTGAAAAATTGTGCATAATTATTTTGTTGGGAAAAACAATCTGGTTAATCAGTACAGAAGCTGGGTCTCAGAAACACTAGCTGAGTTCACAGTTGTGAGTGCACTCCTCTAAACTAGAGGAGAGAAACACATCCATAACATTTATATCATGCTTACTGTGTGTCAGGCACGTTCTAAGCATTTTACCTATTTAGTTAATTTAATCCTCATAACAACCTCACTATAACCCCCATTTTACAGATGCGGAAATTGAGATGAAGCGTAGGGAAATATGTTGACCTAAGGTCCTTCTGCCAGTGAATAGGGGAGCCTGGATTCCAACCCAGAATGTCTGGCTTCAGAGGGTCTGCACTTAACCATTAAGCTAGGATCTTTTGAGATGCCATGTGTCTGTCATTTTCTCTAAGACTTTAGCCACGGCTCCCATGGTCTCTCGGGCCCTCGTGATTCTCAAAACTGATGTGAGGAAATCACTTTGGCTTAACTGAGGAGTTCAGGGAAGTCAGATGATAATAGCCTTCTGAGGGCAGGGCATGACACCATTTAATATTAAAATGAATTCTCCTAAAGTTGGTTTTACTCCTCACCTCCATAGTTCTGTTAATAGTGATTTTTCAGTTAAGTCTGACACTTTGGAGGAGTTGTCTTTGATTTTTCCCTTCCCTCTACCCTCTGTATTGAGGAAGCAAATCCTGTTTACTCCTCTGTTGAAACATCTATTTTCCGTACTTTCACTCTGCCTGACTCTAGTCTGGTTTCTTTCTTTCTTTCTTTCTTTTTTTAATTGAAGAATAGTTGATTTACAATATTATATTCATTTTAGGTGTACAACACAGTGATTCAATATTTTTATAGATTATACTCCATTTAAAGTTATTATAAAATATTGGCTATATTCCCTGTGCTGTACATTACATCCTTGTACCTTTTTAAAAAAATTTAATATTTATCTTTATTTTATTGTTTTTTTTGGCTGCACGGCATGTGGGATCTTAATTCCCTGACCAGGGATCAAACCTGCGCCCCCTGCAGTGGAAGCACGGAGTCTTAACCACTGGACCACCAGGGAAGTCCCACATCCTTGTACCTTATTTATTTTATACCTAGAAGTTTGTACCTCTTAATCCCCTATCCCTATCTTGCCCCTCCCCCTTCCCTCTCCCCGCTGGTAGTCTCTAGTTTGTTCTCTGTATCTGTGAGTCTGTTTCTGTTTTGTTATATTCATTCATTTGTTTTATTTTTTAGATTCTACAGATAAGTGAAAACATACAGTATTTGTCTCTCTCTGTCTGACTTATTTCACTAAGAATAACACCCTCCAGGTCTATCCATGTTGTTGCAAATGGCAAAATTTCATTCTTTTTTATGGCTGAGTAGTATTCCATTGTATACATACACCACATTTTCTTTATCTGGTTCCTTAATAACTCATTCCGATTTTTTGCTTCTTAGCTAGTTTCTTTAGTATTTCTTCTGCTTCAGTTATACACGTTGCCCTAATTGTACTTTCTAAGATGACTCCCATTGCCATGTTCTCTACTTTTAGCCTGGTGTACAGGGGCCTCAACAGATCCTCATATTCTCACTTTCTATGGGACCAAGCTGGTCTGTGAGGCAGGGGGATGGTCCGCAGTGCTTCTGTCCATTTCTACTCCTCTCTATCTAGACCACTGGGACTGTCTGCAATGATGGAAATGTTCTCTGCACTGCCCACTATGGTAGCCCCTTGAAATCAGATCAAGAAAACTGAGGAACTAAATTTTCCATTTTATTTAACCTAATTAATTTAAATTTAACTAGCTACATGTGCCTCACGTTTATCCTACTGGAAAGTGCAGTCACTACACATCCTTGAATACCCAGCTCAGATTCTGCCATCCTCAGCACTAGGTCTTCTCCTGTGACCTCTACCATAAGAGGTCTTCCAATTGGATCATTTAGTCTTTCACTTATTTCAACATATATTTACAAAGCACTGCATATTTCAGACACTTTGTTAATCAATGTAGAGAATACAAGGAGGAAAATTGGAGTTTCTCTCCTCCAGGAACTCTACTGGTTAGTATTTTGAGCTTATGAAACATTAACTATAATTCTTTGCCTCCTTCATGACACCCCCAGTGGGTCTTTGCACATAGGAAAATCACAGCTTTGCTGAGGATTAGACAAGGCTGGAAGCAGATGTTCGATGAAAACTTCGGGGAATCTTGGTTCATTGAGAAATACCAATCTGCAGTTACAATAGGACAGAAATTCTACTTTTTTAAGGCACTGAGAGGACGAGGGTGAATGATGTATGAATCCTAATGTCTGTTCTGAGAATTTAACACTGTCTTCCTAACTCATGAGGTCTCATCTTCCTTTCCCCTTCTGGCCCTGGCCTTGATTTTAGGGTTTTTCCTTTGCTCAACAACACAAATCATTAAAGATACTTTGGCTGGGACTGTTAGCAGTCTGTGGAAGCCCAAATCCTAAACTGAAAGCCAGAAGAAGATTAATCAAAATGATACAAATGGTGCTTTATAGAATTTCTAAAAAAATAACTCAGTATGGAGGACAAGAAGTTTGGATAACCCGAGAGTCTGGTCTTCTCTTAAATAAGCTGAACTTCTGCTAGACCATAAGGCTATTAAATAAAAGGGACTCGACATGCCCTCTGAATTCTCCTTTCTCTGCTAGGAAACATGCCACAGCAGAGTGTTTGAAAGCTCACCTTTCGTGATCAGAGTTACAAATATTCTAGGTTGTTCTGTCTTATGATGCTGCACATGCATATTATTATGAGGACAAGTTTTTGCCAAGACATCCTACAGATTACCTTTATTGGTAGATCCCACTTATTCCACTTAGTTAACAACTTCCACTCACCAGCTCTGTGGGCCTTACCATCTGCCCAGGGGACATGGTCCAGGCCCCAAGCTGCTCATAATCCAAATAGGGCTCAAGATAAGCAAATGAAAGGGTTAAACTCCAATCAATGCCAACAAGAACGCATGACTGAGTCAAAACCAAGAGGGACAGAGTAGAATCATTGCTTGATCAAGAATGAAGATCCCAGCCCTTTTCTCGCTATGCTATTTCCATATTTTCTGTATCTTATATAGTAAAGAAAGTATTTATCTTATCTAACCTGAAACCTCCTTGCTCTAAGTTCATCATATTTCCTTTTGTTTTTCTCTCAGTGGAGATGTTATATCATGGGCAAGTAGGACTGGCCTTTTGTTTTCTAACCACTCACACTCATTTGAAGTGAAAGTACATAGAGAGGGAGCTCCATGAGTGCTTTTACTCAAAGGAAAGAGATGCGGAGCACAGCCTGCTGGTCCCACATGAACCCTATCCGTTCTGCTTTGTCTTCTGTCTTTGGGACCATCTCAGTATCACTGACACATCTTTCTACGGAGGCTTCTCCAAAAGGCTCACTGTTGCTACTTGACCTCCCCACAGAACTGGTATGTGGGACACTTCGGGCCTTATTTGTTCTCAGCCTCTCAGACCTGATCCTGTCACTAACATCAGGGCACTGTTGTGCCTGAAAAAACATCCTGAGCACTGAAACCGGGCCTGAAGAAACAAGCTGTGTTTAAAGGCCAAGATCCCACCCAACATCAAGATCCTGCTGTTAATTCATTGCTTTCTGAATGAGGTTAATCTCTTAAAATTTATACCCTAACTTGGGGCCACTTGTCTTTTCACTGCATATATTTGAGAGGATGAACACTGGCCAGCTGTGCTCTATTTCATTATTCACTTTATTTAAGAAAGTGAGGGAAAGGAATACAAAAAAAGTCTAAGTCCTTCTGTCAGAGTGGAAAACATTGATCCCAAATGGCATTTAGCCTTTAGGCTGTGCTCAGCTCATACAAATGAAGGTCAGAGTAAAAATCAAACAGTCCTGCACATTCTTATGTCCACAGAGAAAAACCATTAACAAATTATATATATACGTCCCCCTTTTGCTCATTTTTACTGTACCTCATTATTACCTGTTTCCTTGGTAAATCAGTGTTATTTATTAATATTTTCAAATTATTTCCAGAAAAGGGCTGGATGGTTCGCAAGAGGGTTAAAGAGAAAGGCTGGGATAATAAGAGTTGATGAAAGAACAAATGTCATGATAGATGATCCATTCCCTGTTTTATTAGGATAAATGCCTGAAAGGAGAAGGGGCAATGAAAAGTCAGCTGTCGGATCACTACTAACCTTGCCTGTAGAATTCTTCACAGACCCTTTCACTCCATTGCTTGCTCATCTCCCAGATTCTACAAGGATTGCAAATGTCAGCACACTTCAAGGCAATCTGAGAAATGACAGGGCAGGGAGAGAGGGTCAGAGGATGATCTTTGAGCAGCAAATGCACCCCAAGCCCAAGGGGCCATCGGACCTGCCAGTCGGCCTCATGGTACCAGGCCTGTATTTATAGAGGCTTCCCTGACGTGCCTCTTCAGGAAAACAGCGCTTATTCATCACCGCACAAAACCTTCGTTCAGAACTCCCACTTCATAGCAGTGAGAAGGAGAGAAGAGCCATCGTCCGAGGACACGGAGCTACCTGGAGGAGACGGGGCAGGCAGGCCGAGGAAAGCCGTGGCCTGGTTCCTGCCGCTTCACTCCTTGTGGGCAGGGAGGCCGCAGGGGACCCAGCCAGGCTCAAGTGAGATCACTGGGACCTCACTCACTCTCATAGTGGCCACACTGGCCGAGTCCATACATTAAATTATTTGTGTTTGCATTTATATGCCCGTGTCTGTGAGTGTGAACAAGCTCAGACTGCCAGCCGGGGAGCCAAGTCATATCAAGCCTAGGAGTGTTTGGTTTGCAGAGATAAATCTGGGCCTTCTTGGCTTTGCTCACACTGTTCTGCATCTGGGATACCAGCTTTTGTCAGAGATGCTGACCCTGGGAGGGTTTCCTTGCATTTCCAGAGAAGTAAGTTCTCCCCTTAACTACCAACTGCCAAGAGCCCACTGCCCAGATGGGCTTCTGGTGGCATGCCCGTCCATCAGCAAGGTCTGCTGGTTTGGACCGAGTTCTTTGGGATCGTAGAACTGCTAGCAGTGCTGGGGTCTGGGAGAGCCTGAATCATATTAAGTTGCAAACCTGGTTGGTTCTTTATTTCCTGGTGAATGGGGGACACCAGTACGTGTTGGAGTAGGTCAGGGGCAGAAGTCCTCTCCAGGTTCCACCCTTGAGGGAGTCGTGTGTGTTAGCAAGCTTTCCTTTTGAAATGCAAGTGTCCAGGCCAAATCTTTCAGCTACTCACAACTAGGCTTGAGTTTCTACAATCAGGCGTCTGTGGCACTCAGGGACGAGAAGACTAGTTTGGGAAGAAAGAAGGAGGGAGATACAGTTTTACAGCTGGGAGGAGGGTATTTCCTTAAAAGGATGGAGCAGTTGGACAGCTTCCGAAGGCAGCCTGAAGGCATGGAAGGGAAGAAACCGTATGGTTCAGTCTCCCACGTGCAGGTCCACGTCCGTGGTTAAAGCTGGCCTATCTAGATGCATCCAGGATTCACCCATTCAGTCTTTTGTGCCAAAAGGAAAGAAGGAAAATGAGAGAAAATGGGAGATCAAGCAAAAGGCTCTGGTTTGGATACAGCAGGTCAGACTTCTGCTTCCAAGGTCCACTTCTCACCTTGTTCTTTCTTAGTTCACAAATGGCTTTTTGCCATGGAAGGAAGCAGAAAGGGTTGGGCTTGATATGATTCAATTCATTCAATTAAACTTAAAATCCTTTATTTATTGGTGCCTAAAAATGGTAAGACTAGGTAAACACGTCTGAGCCTCAGATGAAAATATGAGTTAAGGTAGTAAAAGGAAGGAAAGCAGGGTTTAATTAAATAGGCTTTAGGTAAAGGAAGGATACTCGTTTTTCAATTTTTGTTAGTACTATAGTTAACACAATATACTTTTGTATTAGAGAAACAGTTTTCTACATTGCACAGGTATGATAGTGATCAGCTTTATATCAAGGCACGAAATGTGGTAGATTCTTATTGCATGCAACTACACAACTACGTTGTGGTGAACCAGTTACCAAACAAGGAAAAATGAGATATTATCAACTTACTGACGTGAAACCCAGATTTTACTTGCTTGGAAACCACTTAAAAATTTCATGTGTCTCAAAAGTTTTTAATAAAGTAGGTCACCACTCTAGCTTATACCATGGGAGATATTTCTTCTCAGATGCATTAAAATGATGCATCGTGTCCTTAAGTGTTATACCCAGTGAGGGTAATGACTTCTTTTTGTTGTTGTTGTTTACCTGAAGCATAAAGTGCCTGTCGTGTACATCCTCCAGGCTTAAGTCTTTACTGTGGAGGTGAGCTTTCAATCTGGTCAAAAATTCATTCTGTCTGTTGATGTCTGTCGCCAAGATCAAGGAGCCCAGCTGCTGTTCAATATCCTGTCTGCATCCACAAGAATGAAAGAGAAAACACACACACAAAGCAAATTCCTTTGAGGAGGGTGATTGATTCTGTCATCATCAGGTGGCTTGTACTCTCATTTCTGCCTCTGATTCTGTTTATTACACAGAATCCCAGTCCTTGCAGCCCGAGAATGATTCTTTCACCCACCATCATTTCTGTCCTTGGATGGGATGTATGTCAAGGACTGGACAGAGAGATTGAAACCATGGGTGAACAGAGTTGTGGCAGTTTATACATTCCCATGGTTCCTACGGGTGGGAAGATCGAAAGCCAACGAGAAATGTATGCTTTAAGGAGGACACAGAAAGACTCACAGAATCACAGGCATTTGAATTGTGCTTTTTATAGAGTTCAAACCAACTCAAACGTTAAGATTTGCATGGGGAGAGAAATGGGCATGATAATAGTAACAGTAATGAAGACAATAATAGCGACTGATTCTGTGGCATGGAAAGACCCATCAAGGGAACAAAACTGATAGGTTGGAAAGAGATACTGGAACTTAAAAAAGAATCACAGTTGATTAAGGCACCATTAAAAAGCAGTGGTCAAGCAATATATTGGTCAACAGATGGTATAGGGAAAATGGGATATTTTGGAAAAATAAAACAAATCAGAGCTTTTCCTCACATATGGAAAGTAATCAATGGGAGGAATATCCATACCTATTTTTAAAATTCACCTTTAAAAGTGAAGTATCCTTAAGTAGAGAGCATAGAGTACACATATACAATTTAATGAATAAATATCAAATAAACATCTTACAGTCACCATCCAGGTCAAGATCGTTGCCTGCCAGTACCCCAGAAGGTCCTCATTGTGTCTCTCATCCAGCCCCACCTCCCCTCAACCCTGAAGTAACCACTCTCTTGACCTTTGTTTTAATAATTTCCTTGCTACGTATAACAATTTTACCACCTGTGTACGCATGTTTAAATAATATGGTTTAACTTTAACTGCTTTTGCACGTTAAGTTATGTGATAAGTATCAGTTTGTGACTTGCTTCTTTAGCCTAAGGTATTTTTGAAAGTCACCTAAGTTGATGTGTGAGCTGTCATTCATCCATTTTCTTGATTATATTGTATCCTATTGTAGGACTATCCTTCAATGTATTTATCTGTTCTACTTTTGATGGTAACTTGAGTAGTTTCTAGCTTTTGACTACTATGGAAAAAATGACACAATAAACACCCTCATGTACCTCCAGTTACACATGTGCAAAGTTTCTCTAGGGACTATATCCAGGAATAAAATTATTGGATCACAGAGATGTTCACCTTCAATTTCTTAGATATTGCTGATTATTTCCAAAACAGTTGTATAAATTTACACTCCAAACAGTAATAGATGAGGTTCTCATTGCCTTATAGTCTTACACTTTACATTTTTTTTGCCCATTTGCCAATGTCACGCAACTCATTATAATCTTAATATGAATTTCCTTGATAACTAATGAGGCTGGACATATTTTATGTGTTTATTGGCCATTTCTATTTTTTTGGTGAGGTTTCTATTCTAGTCGTTACCTACTATTCTATAGGGTGGTTTCTGTTTTGTTTATTGCTTCTAAGAGTTTTTAATATATTTTCAATAATGGTCTTTTGTCACTTATGTGTTGCAAATATCTTCTCTCACTCTGTGGCTGGTCTTTCTGTTTTCTTTATGATGTCTTTTGATGAAAGGAAGTCTTAATTTTTAATATAGCTTAACCTATAAATATTTTTATTTAGGTTAATATTTTTCTCCTATTTAAGAAATCCTTCCTACCTCTGATGAAAATATTCCCCTACATTATATTCTAAAAGCTTTATAGTTTCATCATTAACATTTTTGTTTTTAAGCCACATACGCATCTTTAGTCTACTTCTGGACATTAGAAATAATCTCAGAAAATAGGCAGTTCACAAAAGAAATTTAAAATGTTCCCAAAATATGAAAAGATATTAAATATTCTTAGTATAACGAAAAATATTAAAACAGCTATGTGATACTATTTCCCACACTTTTATTGGCATGGATTAAAAGTAACTGCTAAATAATATGATGAATTAATTAATGATTGTGATACTTAATGCTGTTGATGATATGGGGAAATCTTCCTTCTTATTCTCTGTTAGCCAGAGTGTAAATTGGTGCAGTGTTCCTGAAGGGTAATTTAGGAATTAGTGTTAAAAGCAATAAATATAAATAATTTGACCAACAGTTCATCTACAAATTTACTATGAACATGTTAGTAAAGATACAGTTAGTAAAGATATATGTTATAAGAATGTTTATCCCATTGTTTAAAATAATGAAACATTCTAGGGACAAAAATATCACAAGAAGTTATAAATAGGAGATCGGTTAAATGAACCATGTTACAAGCATACTATGCAATTATTTCATGTGATGATGTATAGCTATATTTATTGACATGGAAAAATACCATGTTTTATTGTTATGTTAAAAAACAGGATACAAAGTATGTAAGACATGATCTCTATGGTCATAGAGAAGAATTTGGAAAGACATACAGGGGAATTATGAATGATTTTCACTTAAAAATAATTTTCAATATTGTATAAATTCTTTAAAAATATGAATATTTATTAAATTTATAACCAGGAAACATAACTATTTTAGTTAGGTGAAATATTTCATGAACCAGGTTAAAAGGCAAACTAAAAGCTTCAAATAATATTTACAACATATAACAAATGGTTACTGTAGTTAAAATACAAAAACTTCTTACAAATGAATAACAACACTCATAAGAAAATAAGAAAAGATCAAACGCAAAATGTGTTCTCTAAAGAAATAACAGTGGCCAGTAAATACATGAAAAATTTTTAGTTTCATTTGTTATCAATGAATCTCTCTCTCTCTCCTCTTTCTTTCTTTCTTTCTCTCTCTCTCTGTCAAATCTGCAAATATTTTAAAAAGGTAATAGAGATAAAACTCAATTTTGGTGATGGTACATTGGTAGATTTTCTCATAATCTACCAGTGGGAATACAGGTAGATACAGCTTTTTGGAAAAGCAATTTGATAGTATACAACAAGAACCTTAAAAATTCACACCTTTCTTTCTGATCAATAACTCCTAACCACAAACAGTTTCTGAGAAAATAGAATATCGTAGTTTGGGATAAAAATATATGTTTAAGGATGCTTGTTAAGCATTATTTGTAATGACATAAATTTGGAAATCATCTAAACTCCCAACAATAGGCAATAGGCAATACAATTTGATGCAATGAAATGCAGTACTTTATTTTAGCAGCAGGTTTAATGATATGGAAAAAGACCTTTACAGTAAGTGAAAAATAGCAGGACGTACACTGTATGAGATAACTTCCCCATTTCTTTAAAATATAGTTGTACTGAAAAAAAGACTGAAAGGAAACAAACCAGCCAGGTTAACATTTACTATTCCTGGACTGCCGGATTACCAGTAATCTCATTTTTCTCGTTCATGTTAGGTTGAATCATATGAAACTGCCAATATTCTACTGTTCTGGGCTCTCAGAAACAGCAACGTCATATGGTGTGAACTGATACTTTTCAGATTTTTTCCTTAGTGTGTATGGTTAACCTGTCTTTCAGAATCAGAAAAATGATTTGAAGGCATTTACATGAGGATAGGATACTCACTATGAGTAGGATGACCGTAAATTTCATTATAAAGTCCTTTCACGTATATTATTGCATAACAGTTTTTCTTCTAGCAAAAGCAATTTATAACACTATGTTCCACAAAAACGTATAAAAATATAGTATTTTTATTTGGAATCCATAGGGATGAGTAGAAGTATCTTAGGAAATGAATATTAATTGAGCAACGAGCAGGATTAAGGAGGGCGTTACAGGGACAAATCTGGTTCCAGGTTCCTTCTCCCTTTTTCCTGTTGTTTTATTCCTTCCTGTCTCCTTCCCCTTCCTTCCCTTCTTCTCTCTTTCTTTGGCTTCCTTACCATTCACCTCTCCCTTCCTCCTCCTCCTTACTTGATTTCTTGCTCTAGTTTTTAGTTCTTTTTGCACTTAATTCTTTCGATCTTTGCAATGTATTGTTTTAGTAAGAGGCACGAGTTTTTATTCCATGTGTGAGGATTGGTTTTATTTGGTTTCGGGGGTAAAATGTTATCAGGATTGAAGTTCCTTCCACAAATTCCACTTTCCTCTGGGTGCTAGGGAACAGCATGAGATAGAATCAGCGTGCCAGGAGTAAACCTGCGAGCCCAGAGCATCCTGCCTGCTCTACCGAGAGACACCACGTGGTCCTTGACCTTAAGTTGTGTGCCTTTCGGAAAGATGGTACAGGGATCTATTTACTTTTTCCCTCCTAGCTACTCTGGTTCTGTGCATTTGAATTAAACAGATAGGAATTAGCGGTGACCTTGGAAGACAGTGCAGCAGCTAAATTAAGGCCAATATGGTACAGCAGCTAAACTGAGGCCAGGTGGAAATGAGGCCAGGTTGTGGATTTAGTAGGACTCGACCTAAATACCCGGGCTAAGGAACAGTGGACCAGGAAACTAGTATTTCCCTTTCTGTTTAAAATGCAAGAGACATAGGTAAATTCCTGGTGAAAAAAATTGCTGGGGCCAATTCAGTTACTTAACAAAAGACATTTTAGAAAAGAATTCCTGACTTCTCCTTTTGCTAAGACTGGCAATAACAAAACACGCTTTATTGAACTAGGCTTCAATCTAGCTTGGGAACTCCTGTGTTCCTTCTTGATAAATATTTATTATTTGGATCTACACAGGAGGACAATTTTGCTAACATAAAAGACAGGAATTTGGCAAGGCACAGCGTTGATGCCGAAGAGTGTGAAAGCTGAGAGCTGTTTATTATCTCTTTTCCTGACGTTAGGTCCTACACTCTCCAGGCCCTTTCAGAGTTCACAGAGGGATTCTGGTTTCTGGGTTGCTGTAACTGACACCGCATCTCCTCTGATAGGCAACCAAGGCAGCACGGGCCGGAAGCACAGCGGGCTGGCTCCCTGCCATTAACCCTGGCGGTCTCAAGCCCAAGAGAAAGCGGCTTATCTCTAATGTGTGGACATCGGTATGTTTCATCTCTACGCCACTTACGTCATTTCCTTTGGCAAGTGAGCCAGAAGTCTTGATTCTCGAAGCATGCCGATTGTAGATCGCCAGTGGTGATTCTCCAGCACAGACATATTCTAGAAAGAAAGAAAATTAAAACTATAAATGGGGGAGAAGCCAGATACCGATCTCTCTCGCTGAACACAGCTCCGTGGGGGCCAGTATTTTCCCTCTGGCCAGTTGGTACCTGATGACATAGAGGCAGAGCAGAAATACAAAATGAAACAACCGCAGGCCTATTCTCAAGGCTATAATAATAGTGTGTGTGTGGGTCAAGGCCCTGCTGACCTTCCACCAGAGGGCTGAATGCGGGTCTATTTCAAGCAGCCGCAGTCCTGTCTCTGTCTGGTTTTGAAAGCGCATTCAGGTAACAGTGTAGAAGAAAGAAAGTGAGGCAGTAAAAGTAGGTAGTAATGGGTACTGTAGGGCTATGTGCATAATATAATCCAAAATCACACTACTCAACAGAGGCGGGCCTCACAACCTCTGGTGTGATATGTGCCCCTGTCAAGGCAGTCTTGTTTTGGTGGCTTTGTGGTGATTTGTTATTGTGGACACTAAAGTCTGAGAACCACTGTCAATAATCTTCGTGATCAGTGCATCGGCACTTAGCCCATTAGGTCTGGGTTTGAATCTACAGTTGCTTCCTTGTTCAACTATCTTGATATTTCTTCCTTTGTGGAAACCTCTACTACAACCAATCTCTCCTTTGACCTTAAGTATGCTGCCTGTCTGAACATTAGCTAACCATATAAATAATGAATATTTCTTACAACCTATTGTGTTTTGTTCTATATTAGCAAACCTTATGGCCTTACCACTGACTTCATTTACATATAATAGAAATCTTCTAGTCCCCAAGAAATCTTTTCCCTTTATTTTCTTATTTATTTCTTATTTATTTCTTATTTATTCATTCTCCATTTTGTTTCAAGAGGTGTTATAAACTTACAAAAAATACGGGAAGATAGCATTTATTAAAAGTGAGGCTAAATTGTCAAGGCATGGAAGCAACCTAAGTTTCCATCAATAGATGAATGGACAAAGAAGATGTGGTGTATATACATACATATATATGTGGTATACACACACACACACACACACACACACACACACAATGGAATACTACTCAGCCACAGAAAATAATGAAATTGTGTCATTTTCAGCAACATGGATGGACTTGGAGGGCATTATGCTAAGTGAAATTTGTCAGACAGAGAAAGACAAGGAAAGAGATATCACTTATATGTGGAATCTAAAAAGAAACACAACAAACTGGTGAATAAAACGACAAAGAAACAGACTCACAGATGTAGAGAATAAACTAGTGGTTACCAATGGGGAGAGGGAAGCGGGGAGGGGAAATGTAAGGGAAAGGGATTAAGAGGTACAAACTATTATGTCTAAAATAAGCTACAAGATATATTGTATAGCACAGGGAATATAGCCAATATTTTGTAATTGGCTATACTGAAGTATAACCTTTAAAAACTGTGAATCACTATAGTGTACACCTGTAACATACAATATTGTATATCAACTACACTTAAGTTGAAAAAAGTAGGGGGCAATTGTGTGATTCTGCTTATATGAGGTACCTGAAATAGTCAGATTCAGATTCATGGAGACAGAAACAATGGAAGTTGCCAGGGGAGCTGAGTGAATAGGGAGTTATTGGGTTGGCCAAAAAGTTCGTTTGGGTTGTTCCACACCATCTTCCGGACAAACCCGAACGAATATTTTGGCCAACACAACATTGTTTTGTGGGTACAGAGTTTCCGCTTTGCAAGATGAATTCTAGAGCTTGATTGGGGTGATGATTGCACAACAGTGCGAATGTACTTAGTACACTAAATTGTACACTGAAAAAGGGTTAAGATGGTAAATTTTATATTATGTGTATTTTGCCACAATCAAAAAAAAGTGAGGGGGGCTTCCCTGGTGGCGCAGTGGTTGAGAGTCCGCCTGCCGATGCAGGGGGCGAGGGTTCGTGCCCCGGTCTGGGAAGATCCCACATGCCGCGGAGCGGCTGGGCCCGTGAGCCATGGCCACTGAGCCTGCGCGGCCGGAGCCTGTGCTCCGCAACGGGAGAGGCCACAACCGTGAGAGGCCCACGTACCGCAAAAAAAAAAAAAAAAAAAAAAAAAAAAAAAGTGAGGGGAAAGACGCAAGTAAAATAATACGGAGACTGATGGAGCCAGGACAGAGACTGAAAACTACTCCATCATTATGCAACCCCACTCTTCTTGCCACTGTATCTGTGCCATCCGTGTAATGCTCAACTTTTTCAGCAAATGGGAAAAGAGAATCCCCCAGGAGTGACACAATCTAGGGTCTATTAGGAAAAAACAAGTTCAAGAAAACTGCAACTATTCTTGGTTCTAAAACCAGGTCATGATTTCTCCCCAGGACTTTGTAGAATGAGTTTCACGAGGTGGAGTCTTATTCCAACTCTCTGTACAGGCTGCTCTATTGCCATTCATTTCTCTTTGCCAAGGAGTCATTATTCCTTACGCACCACTTGACCAGGTTTGAACCTGTGATGAGATTTTGTTACTTTTATCAGCCAGTCTATTATCTCCTTTTGGGCATGAGCTACACAAAGCAAAAGACAATGTTTATGAGAAATAACATACTAGACTAATTGTTTTGATTGTAAAGATTTATGAGAGCAGAGAGCGATAGGTTAGTGTGATGTAACAGATGTTCTATCCCTGCTGTGACATTTAATTCAGTCACTCATGAGCATTCACTTGCAAGACTAATTCAAGTAGCTGTGACATGAGTGCCCTCATGTGAGTCTGTCAAGGGGCCGGAAAACTGTAACAAGACCTAATGATAAATGACGCCATATCCCTGTTGAGTGGAACAAAAGCGTCTGGAGAATTGCCTTAAGCATTGTTATTTATGCCAGCCTGACTTAACATCTTCATTAATAATCTTCCTGAAGACAGAATAAACGGATACTTGGGAAATTTGCTGGTGAAACCATATTTGGAGGTAAGCACCAGAAAAATGGGAGGAAATGGAGGGGGCCTGGATGCTGGCACAGAATAAAAGAAAATAGCATACATATTACAAACACAACCTTTCATGGAGCTGTCATTATAAATAAAGTATGTTTTGGCCAGAATTGTGTTGGAGGTAGGGGTACTCCACTGGATGCAGGAGAAGAAAAGAAGAGAAGTTTAGGGAGGGGGGATTAACATTTCTGAAGCACCCACCGTGTGCCAGGCCCTTTACATGATCTCATTGAATTCTCACATGACTGTCTACTGTTTTAATCATTAATTCACAGCAAATGAAACCCCAGGTTTCTCTGACAGGCCACATAGCTAGTCAGTAACTGAGAAAAAGGCCTTCAACCCAGCTCTGCCAGGCAGCAAGACCTAAGCTTCGCACACCTCCACTTGCTGTCTCCTAAGAATTACCTCTCTTCACCCACATCCAAGCATTCAGAAGCCTGACATTTATAAACTGATGAATGCCTACAGTTATACTTAATTTTCCCCCAAATCATCTATAGTTGCTGCTTTAAAAGTCAATGGTTGATTGTTTTAATTAGATGTTAGTTTCTAAATCCACACTGGAATCTTTGCACATACCTCCAAATTTGGTATCACTTCAAAAAATCTTGTAGTTTGAGTGTGTTACGAGTTGAGGAGATTTAGATTGTCTTGGGGGAGAATTCATCCTTCAGCCACTCTCGACCCTCACATCTGAACAGTCTCTGAGTTCTGTTGGTTCTTCCATCATGGCGTCTCTTATACCCATCCCTTCCTTTCACTGAAGTGACCATATTTTAGTGCTTTATTATCCTTAATTATCCTTCCTTCTATTCATCCTCCCTACAACTTCCAGAATGTGACTTGTTTATTTGACAAAATTTTTTACCATCTCCCTAATCATTGGTTGAAATGTAAACTAATATTTTTTTGAACACCTCCTAATATGCCAGGTGCCATGGCAGGCACTGGGGGTCTATAGGTGAATAAGACAAAATTGCAGCCCTCAAGGAGCTCACCTAAATTCAATATGATTGTGTCATCTGCCTTCTCCCATGCCCTGCTCCAAACTCTACCCTGGTGTCCTATCAGATAAATTAAGCTTAACTCCTTAGCTCGGCA